TGCAGATAGCAAGTAACTGGGTCACTTAACCTAATAGACACATTGTGACCCTTAGCACACATTTTGGGGTTTTTCTTTTTTTTTTTTTTTGGACTCTCCACCAGGCTAGAGAATCTGTATAATCTGAGGCTAGTTCTGTCTTGCTACTCATATACTTCCAAACCCTTCAATGAAGATGCCCAAGAAATACTTACTGTGTGATTTAATTAATGTTATAACATGCCATGTAGCTCTTAACCAGGCCTTTGTAGAAAGTATGATTCTAAGTAACTTCAGGACTGGGATCCGTGGCTCATGCCTGTAATCTCAGCACTTTGGGAGGCTGAGGCAGGTGGATCACTTGAGATCAGGAGTTTGAGACCAGCCTAGCCAACATGGTGAAACCCTGTCTCTCTCTACTAAAAATACAAAAATTGGCCGGTATGGTGGCACATGCCTGTAGTCCCAGCTACTCGGGAGGCTGAGGCAGGAGAATCACTTGAACCCGGGAGGTGGTGGTTGCAGTGAGCCGATATCACACCACTGAATTCCAGCCCGGCCAACAGAGTGAGACTCCATCTCAAAAAAAAAAAAAAAAAGCAGAGGGAAACCTGGACTGATACTAATATTTGCAGGTAAATTTCTAACACAGGGAAAGAACAATGAAGGAAGCCTCATCAAGTTATTTCTTTTTTTCCCGGGAAGTCAGAAGCAAGGTCTGCATCTGGCCAGATAATAAGATAATGCAGTGGAAAGCTGGAGAAGAAAGGGGAGAGGGAAGAGGTGCCTGGGGATAGGCAAAAAAATAACAATACAGCAAATGCAATATTAAAGATCCATTTAGGACTACAAATTTATAGTGACACCAAGACAGATCTGTAACTTTTTAGCCCTGTATAAGAAGAGGGAAAAGCAACATTTAAATCAATCCAGCTTTAGGGTTTTTTTTTCCAGGCTGGGGGAACTGAGAAACAAGGGGAAAAGATGGATTGCTGGCAATGATGGCAATGATGACCCTGTGGTCTCTGTTGGATGTGGATTGGAGGAGTGAAGGTGAAGGATCAATGGTCTCTATATGGTTAAAGAACAGGTACCACCAAAGTGATGGAATAATAGAACTAGAAAAGGTTGTGATCAGAGAGTGGAGTCCAGGATTTTACCATTCCGTAGTAATTCTGAGTAATGAAATACAAAATCTAGGGTGTCACATGGATGTCAGTGACTTAAACACATTGATGGAGTCAAGGAAGAAATGGAAAGGACTGTTGAAGCTAAGGCACTGGCTGAGTCTTCACATGGACACTGAAGTCACTCAGAGCGAGGCCAGTTCTTGGAGAGAACAGTGGAGTCAGGGAGCAAAGTCACAGGGAATGAGCAAGTGACTGATGAACAGATTGACAGAAGGACAGAAGGCAACACAGGGAGAGTGGGTGCCTTCTGTCCTTCTGTTGGTGAATTCATACATTCCATGAGATATGTTTTAACCTCATGGAATACATTGCAAAGGAGTATCAAGGAGTAATGGTTGGGGCACATCTTCCTTGTCCACATATTCTACTAGAAAGGGCTGGAAAGGGCTGCAGGGGCAACTCATGCATTTGGGAGAGAATCAGTTGAGGCACAGACAGAAAGTAGATTCTGGGAACAAAGACTGAGAATGTAGAGGAAATTATTTAACATAGAAGAGACTCAAAGATTACTTCAAGGCTCTGAGGAGGGAGAGGTGGGAAGATCGATGAGATGGAAGAATGATACAAGAGTAATGGCACCAGTAGGTAAAGAGCTGCTGACAAAAATGCCAGAGAACAAAAGCAAAAATGACCACAAGAGATTACAATTATGCTAATCTCTCTGGGAGGAGGAATCTGCATCTGCTCCTAAGGGAATCCTGACATTAGAGATTATGATAACATTGCTTTTGTGATCTAGCCCAGGGTAGGCAGGTGGTCACACTAAACCAATCCTGGAGCATAAGTGAAGAGGCCCTCCACACTGGCAACAGCAAGGGATGGAATTCTTTAGTAAATTTTATCTAACATTTTCACATACAAAATTGATCCTTTCCTAATGTATTTATGTATGGTAGATGATTTATCCTCATACTGTAAGAAATTCCAACAAAATGTCAAATAATTGAATACTGTAGAGTTGACTGGTTATTATTCAAGTGTATTGTAGAGTCTAGGAGTAGTTGGTAAATCCTTGTCTTTTTTCTCTTTTATATAATAGTAAAACTAAAAACAACCCCAACAACAGACAGACAGGACTGGATGGTGGAATTCAGTGTATATTATGTGTCCAATAATTGTTGTCCCTGACAATAATAAGAAGAAAAGGGGTGGGAGGAAACTTTGAGCGGTGGTGGATATGTCAATGGCATTGATGGTAATAGTTTCACGGGGGTACGCTTATTCTCAAATTTATCACACTGGTTTACATGAATGCAGCTTTTTACATGTCATTCATTCTTAACAAAGTGGCAAATCAGTTAACCAGCTAACAACTAACTCTTTGAAATCCTGGAAAAAATAAATAAATAAATAAACTAGGTAGTGGTGGTTTTGTTCACTTAAACAACCAGATAGACCCCATCAGTTTACTCTTGAACTACTTAAGCATTCTGAATTTGTTCCACTCTAGGTTTTGGGGGTTTTGTGTTTTTTTTGTTTGTTTGTTCTCCTCTCCTTCCTTCCTCCTCCTTCTTCCTCCTTGCCTCTCCTCCTCCCCCCCCTCCTCCTCTTCTTTTCTTTTTTTTCTTTTTTCTTCTCTTCTTCTTCTTCTTCTTCTTCTTCTTCTTCTTCTTCCTCTTCCTCTTCCTCTTCTTCTCTTCTTTTTTTTTGTTTGAGACAGTCCGCACCCTGTCCCTGCAGGCTGGAGTGTATGGGGACCATCTCGGCTCACTGTGACACTCTGCTCCCCGATTCCCAGGTGGCTTTCTCACAATGTGCCTCAGCTCTCAAGGGTAGCGTGGGATAACAGGCCACACCCTAACACTTGGTGGTACTATTTCTAGGGAGATGGGCTGCGTGCCATCTTGGCTCAGGCTGGTCTTGAACTCTAGGCTCAAGCGATCCACCCATCTCAACCTTCCAGAGTGTTGGAATTACAGGCATGAGCCACCACTCCCGGCCTTTCCACTCTGTTTTTTATTTTGTGTGTTTGGCTTTCCCCAAGTATGTTTGGTTTTAATTAAAATTACATTGCCATTTCTCTTTGTATTAG